GTCAAAGAGTTCAGTTCCATCTACTCCTGCTGCCTTCATCAGCTCCTCTTCTCCACCAGGGTGGTAGTCCATGTAGGCGCTCACATTATACACCATACCTGTCCAAAACATCCACACAAAACTTTATGTGTATGAAGTTATGTTTGTCCTCTGCAGACAGAAACAGATAAAAACAGTATAAAAATGATTATTTAATATTATCATATTTTTAATTGATTATATTTTTAAAATGACACAGAAAACCCAGTAAAGGTCATCGTGAGCGTGCACTCTGTTATCAATGACTGGGCTCCTCACACGGAGAGACCTCGTCCTCAAAGGCTGCAGCACGTCTGCTTCACCTGAAATGAAACCGAGCTTCAAACTAGGGCCGGGCCACGTTTATCGAATACACGCGACGTATCGCGAGTTTTTCCCCGTGCGATGCATAAATGGCTTTATCGTAACCATTGAGTATACGTTGCCATGGCAATATTAAGCTGTCTGCATGTAATTCACTGAGTTTTTTTTCCCCACACACTGCAAATGCATCACTAATTCCCCCCTCCCAACCTGACACGCTGCACTCAGCATGCGTGTTTATTTACTACAACATTGGGAAAAACATGGCGACGGCGGGAGTTTGAGACTCGCTGTCGTTTGAGACTCGCTGTCGTTTGAGACTCGCTGTCGTTTGGATTTCCCCAGTTGGTGGTTTTTGTAGTCGCCGTCTACACTTTTGTTTAGACAGTTTTTGTTTAAGCACAAAGGAGCACATTTTTAATTTCAGTTGTTTTGTCTGATGAAACATTGCTCGATGTCCTTTTCTGTCGCCGTGATCTTTTGTTAAATATCAGTGTTGTTGACGACAGAAAGAGACGAACAGTATAATGTCCTCCTGATACCACACACCTGTGGTCCTCACGGGACCCCATTTCATTTGACTGTTTTTAAAGTATAAAGTATAAATTGCCAATCAATTCAGTGTTACAGCTTAGTTTTACTTAAGACCAACACATGACCACAAAATTTACATTTTACATTTGGGGCACTGTTTTGACACTATTTCTTTATTATTTCTTTATTCCATTTCAAATGTATGTCTGATAAATCCTCATTTATACAAAATGTTTCTTTGTTTTCGGATAAAAGAATAAATTAAATGATCAGTTATTGTGATTATCGTTTCACAACCAGAGTCGGCTGCTTTAACAGATGATCACAGACGGGTTTGTGTCAAAGTTAATTTAGGAAGCTGTTTTTAAACTACTTCAAGTTTTTTACTGGCAGCAAATAATCACATCTGTTGTCCTCTGGGCTCAAAAATGACCCCGTCTG